TATATATATATATATATATATATATATATTATATATATATATATATATATACCTAAAGATGGAAGATAAATTAGCTGATATTCCCTATACCACTGACCATTGCTTGAAGCTGCAGTTCTCATGTGGTGATAATACTGTTTTTTTTCATAATTTTGTTTGAATTAATGTTTTCATACATACCTTAAAATATGGTAAGGTGAAAAAAGGATAGAAGCTTGACAGTTTCAGAATTTTTCCTTTTGCAGTGAAATTGAATAGTTGTAAGTATAGATAAAGCATACTCTATTATTACTTAAGCTTTTCTGTTTATTTTTAGTCTTTGAAATAATTTCAAATTTGATTTTAAACAAGGCTCTGTAGATTTTTCAAACTTTTGTTGAATAGTATACATTTTCCAGCAAATGCATCCTTTTTGTTTCCCATGTATTGAATAAGTGAAAACATTAATGCAGTGTAGCCTATATATAAATCAGAATTTGAAATTTAAAAATCTTCCTTTTTTTTCTTCTGTTTTATCTTATATGTGAACTGTTTGTCTCAGAAGTGTATGATGTATTGGAACTAAATGTGCACATTATTATAAAAAACGACAAATATATTAATCACAATACAAGTTATATAAATTTCAAATAGATTCAAAGTAAAAAAAAAGCAACTTGGTGATATCCAATCACACAGTATAATAATGAATTAAGAACAAAGAAACAGAGGAAGAGAAACCTAATTTGTAAGATTACACAAAAGAATAATTAATAGTATTAATATTTTTTTCAAGAATAAATCACAAATAATAAAGAAGCAAATATCTGTAATTAACTTATCGCTTCAAATAATCAACAAATATATCATTCAGTCTATCAACTTTCTAAAGCCTTACTTACTTTCAGGGCAGACGTTGTTTTTATTTCCTTGCCAGGCAATGAGATTAAATACAACATGACTAACAAATTAAAATTTGTTTTACATAACCACACCTTAACTTAGTATTCATATGTTGCCACTAGGGAACCTCGTGTTGGTTTCTCAATATAAAAATGACTAATTTAATATTCACTAGGAAACATGTTAGCTAGTGTTTTTTAGGCAATTAAAAATATATATCTGGACTAAAAAATACAAGAAAAATTACATAAATGATAAACAAAACCATATCTTAAGACAAAATAGAAATTTCTGCCTTATAGGCTCTTCCATCTTTTAGGTCAAATTAAGACATTTTAGAATATTTATTTCCTTTCCAGATAATGTACACATTCAGCAGTCCATGATGTTGATGAAAGCTCTGTCTGAAAAGGATGTGCTCTTCCAAATACAGGCATGAATCCAATTTTATACCTATATTAAACTCAATCTAGCCATAGATTGATTTTAATTTATTGACATTAAAGCTTAAATAGGCCAACTTTTTCAGTTTTCTCTATATTCTTCTTTTCTTTTTTACTATCTATCAAAGTATTTCCTAATAAATTTGAATATTTGTGACCAATCTCTGTCAACAGATTAATAGATACTTATTAATACATCAGTAACGTCCTACTTAATCTCTTACTTTGGGCTCCATATAGGCTATCATTACATCACAAATCTCTCTATATTAAAAAACAAAAGTTTATCCTACTTCTACTACATTAGTTGAAAAGAGGTGCTAGTTACCTATAATCTAGCAAATAAATAGAAATTAATTTTTTCTATTAACCTAACAAAGTTTTTTATGTATTTTTTACACTGTGCCTTCTATTTTGATTGGCTCTCTATTAACATTGATATATACTGTTATGAAACACTGAGTAAACTTTTATTATGTCTCCTTATTCACACAAAACTCCTACTTGCATGTTGCTTATAAACATTTTGTTTTTCAGTTATATCCAGATGAAAATCATTCCCTTTCCCACATGAAGTTGCATCTATACAGAACCATGGAAGGTTTCCTTGATCGTTGTTTTGATATGCATACAACAGAAGAAATTGGTCTTCAAAAAGTCAACAAGAAAATTAACAAAGGAAGCTAGTTGATTTCATTTTCAATACACAAACTTTTCTAAGCTATTTCTGCAAGAAAAGAAATTTTCTTTCAAATTGTCTTAACTCTGTTTTCAAGTAAACTCGGAATTCTGTGTAATAAACTTGTTTTCTTACTTTGGATTGGCCAACCACAAGACTGTGCCAAATCTAGATATATGATAGCATTAGTAATGAATTTAACATGTGGTTATGATGAAAGGAACTTGAAGAGTATGTAGAACCTGTAGACAAAATATCCTAATGTTAATATTTCCTTTATATCACTTAGTATCTTTATCATCTTTTCACTGATAACACATTTGTAAACATAAAAACCAATTAATTTACATGTGAATTGTTTTTCTGTAAAGATTTTTGTTTTGAACTTAAAGTATTTATCCAGTTTAAACTTAGTATTTTTTCCACGACAGAAATAAGACCTTTTTTATGGATCTACTTAAATTCATCATGAAAACATCTGATCATTTGTATATGTTTGTCATATGATGTCACTCATTTTCTAAAATGCTTTGTTTTTTACTCCTTTCCTGTAGCAGGTTTATACAGTGGTTCACAGAATGACAGGCCATCATTTAAATTCATAAAAATGAGTCAAATTATTTTCTGAAACAAAGAAACCTAGGTACTGTAGTGATTAAGTTGTACGTGGATGGTGATTATAAAGGAGTTTTCATACTTTAAATGATTATATCTAAAAATTACTTGTCCTATAGCAACAAAATTTCACCAGAAACACATTGAGAAGCATGTTTTCTTTAGGAAGTTTTTCACCTGATACAGGGTGTTTGAAAAACAGTCAGAGAGCTTTTTAGTATGCTTTCTGTCATTTTCAATGAGTACATCAAGTTTATCCCTAAATGAAATCATTGCAAGTAGCATCTGTTTTGGACAGAGTTCATTGATTCTGTCAACATCCTGTACACTGACAAACATTTTATTCAAATCACCAATCTCATATTTAAAAATTGTGAAAAAAATAAAAGTAATGCTGGTTTATGGAAAAAGCAATTTTGGTATACTGTATGCATGATGTTGAAATACTGTGTACCAACTCCAAACTTTCCTGAATAAAACCTTTTGATTCTCAATATGTCTCTGGTGAAATTCTATAACCTTAAGGACAAGTAGTTTTAATGGTATAATAATTTTAAACATGAAGTTTTTTTTACAATAAATATTTTATATAAACTTTTATGCATTTTTTTTACTCCTTATGGGAAAGGTCATGTTTACAAGTGTTCCATGTGTCAGTCACTTGTTTGGAGTATTATAGCTATATAGCTATTGGTTATTTTGGTTGTAATTTATTAATTTACATTATACATATTAAACATAACTTCCAAAAACATTTACATTATTACTGTTTGTGTAAAATATGAATTAAATTATGTTTAGCATATGAAAACTGAAATAAAGTAAGTTCCACTTAACTCAAAGCTTCTAACTACATCTTAAATTGTTCTACTCTTTATTATTTGTATTGATTAAGAGAAATCATGTTTTATCACTATTTTCTAAGTATAATATTTCTTTGTGATATATTTCTCAATGCCTAAATCACTTACATTGTTGATCTTAGTATATAAATTATTTTACAATTATGTACAGTCAGGAGTATTGCCAATTTCAGCAGTAATTTAAATTTCCATTTAAACAAGAAAAATGTACTGAAACTATTCTTTTTTCAATATGAACAGATTTTGTTTTATTGCTTATTTTACAGTGTAGAGAATATAAATGTTATAAATTTCAAGGCAGAGGTACAAATATCACTGTAACCAAGAAAAATTTTAAACATAGATAATAATAATATTTGTAATGTAAGGAGTACAAATGGAGAAAAGAAGAAAGTTTAATTTCATGGAGAATACAAATATGAATAGGAAGGAAGGGTTTCACTTTGGGATAATTCAGGTTTAGCTGAATGTCTACCTATTTTTAAATAATATATGTATATAATGTTGATACTGTACGTAAATAGTTACTGTGCTTTTTAATTTCTGATATCCTTGTTTCAAGATTTAAAGAAATGAGCTATGTAAATATATGTATATATATATACATGTAGCATATTAAGCGTAGCCTAGAGTTGAATTAACCAGGTTCTAAATATTTTGGTGGCATAGAGAAAACAATAAAATTGGTTATTTGTATTTAATTTTATACATGCAATATCAGATTTAGACGTGCAATATCAGATTTAGACGTTTACCATGAGAACTGTTGTTCGTAAGATTTTATGATTTAACAAGAAAGTATGTGAATTCTATTTTCCTACATTTCTCTCTAGTCATTTATTTTACAGCTGAAGGTTTTAAATTTATTTTAAAAGTAGATTTTAGGTTATTCTGTATAATATATGTGATAATGCTATAAGACTTAATTTTATTTTTTAGTTAAACTGGTTTTACAATTTGATTATCTTTAACTAAGATGAAATGTGCTGTCCTATTCAACATTTCAAATAACAGCCTCAAAATTATCAGCTATTTTTTCTGTATCATTCATTTTACTACCTTTTGATTACATGATGATAAGTTTCATGATGATTCCATGAAAGAGCTTTTCCATCTCTTAACCCATTGGTTCTTTCTGTGTTTCTTGTCAGCACTTTCCTTTCTCAATTATCTTTTAAACTCACTGTCCTTTTTTTCCGCTCTTTCATTTGTTTCTTTTTCCTCTGAAAACTTTTCTTAGTGTTTCAGAGCAGACTTCTTACCTCACATTCATTCAAACCAGCTTTCTTTTATTTCACTTTTTTTAAAAGGTATCTATGGTTTCTTGTTACAATACCAGTCTTATGAGGTTTTCTGTTTGTTCTATATAGTAAGTGACAAGTTTTTTGTTGATCATTTGTTATCCAGGATGTCAGTGATACAGAAACTGTGCCTATGTACATATTGCACTGATAGCACTTTAGATGTGATTATTTCTGTCTTCTACTTTCAGTTCAACTGCAGCTGCTTTGCTTTACTTAAAGTGTTTATATAGATGATTACAAAGCAAGAGGTGTCAGTAATAAAGGATTTTTGCCTATTTTATGTTTATCTTTTTTTATTAATAATTATTGAAAGACAACACATTTTAGTTACTGTGTTTTCAGCTACATTTTTTTTAAAGGCCAATTACTTACAACTTTATCAATGTATTAGTTCACAGCAGTTTATTGGAGTTGTGTATTAACTGTTGATAATGAAATCATGATAAACACAACAAGCAAATTTAGTGCACTTTCTTTTCATAAACTTTGAAGGATTTTATTGGAATTATTGACACATCTGAGCCTATGAAAACACAATCAGTGAACAATGATAGTACAGGAATAATAAAACTAGGTAAACAGAATAAAAAAATTGTTTCACCACCTCTTCTAACTTCAAGGCTAAGCATATGTAATGAGGCAACCAATGCCGAAGTTCAGATTTGGTTCTATAGTAAGACCCACTATTGTTAATCAGTCATTCCAAATCATAATAGCAAAAACAGTTAAGGTAAAGATAAATATAACATGACTAACAAATTAAAGTTTGTTTTACATAACCACACCTTAATTTAGTATCCATATGTTGCCACTAGGGAACCTTGTGTTGGTTTCTCAATATAAAAATGACTAATTTAATATTCACTAGGAGACAGGTTAGCTAGTGTTTTTTAGGCAATTAAATATATACATATATATGCTACCATATTAGGACCACATATAGCCAGCATATTGATAATTTCATTCCTGCCAATAACATCTGAGGAATAATAAAACTAAGGCCCAAAACCATGATGTTTTGATGCTGTTGTACTTGCTTTACTGAAGTGAATCTAGATGACAGTTGTGCTGGTAGTCCTCATCTATGCCCAGAAGTCATTAAAATTCTGATATGACATCTCAGGAAACTACAGAATACTTGCACTATAATGTAAGCTAGCTACATAAATGTCATGTGTACAAATGATCATGGAACAGCTGCCATCACTTGTACAACATTTAACTGCTGAGATGAAGACTAATGCAACAAAAAACAAGGAAAACAGGAGTTTATCAAATTTTGATATCGTGCCAAAATGCAATAATGGGCAAAGAGAATGAAGATGAAGACTGATGCAACAAAAAACAAGGAAAACGGGAGTTTATCAAATTTTTATAGAGTGCCAAAATGCAATAATGGGCAAAGAGAATGAAGATGAAGACTGATGCAACAAAAAACAAGGAAAACGTGAGTTTATCAAATTTTTATAGAGTGCCAAAATGCAATAATGGGCAAAGAGAATGAAGATCAAGACTAATGCAACAAAAAATAAGGAAAACGGGAGTTTATCAAATTTTTATAGAGTGCCAAGATGCAATAACGGGCAAAGAGAAATTTTTGAGAGACTTAAGCTGCTCAGCACCATACCCAGCCCATCAACAAACTCTAAGATGCCCATCTTGGGTCACGTTAAATCTTTTGAAGCAGGAACAAAGTTATAGACTACTAAATAAGTAATTCATATTTTCAATAATTTCTGCTCGTGAGTCATCATTATAAGGAATGAAGACATACCCAGCTACTTTGCGCGAAATTCAAAACAAACAAACTCTTCCTGGGAAACGTTCGAGTACTATTATCATAGAGAGAGATTGATTTTCTCCAACTCAACATGAGCTTGGGATTTAAAAAAACCATCACTAAGGAGAAGCAGAAAGTAATCCCAGTTGTGATTTTCATCTATAAATTGTCAATATATTTTTTAAGAGTTTGATCGCATCACTCCACAAGTATGTCATATTCAGATTGATATGGCGTACTATAGGTGTGATAAATGCTCTAGACCAGGGGTTCCCAAACTTTTTAGAATCGCGACCCACTATTTATGACCACAGCTTATGGCGACCCACTCAAATTTACTGGGCAAAAACATATGAAAGAATAT